GCACAAGCTGAATATTCTGTGTTTTATCCCCGCAGTAGCCCATCAGGACATTGATATCAGAGACATATCTCACTCTCTCCTGCCTATGACCACTGAATTTCACTAATGGCCCGAAAGCTGGGTCTAGTAACAGGATGAGCTGCCCAGTGACAACTTGTTCCTCTACTAATATGGGAACTGAACAGTGCTGCACCAATGGTTGACCAAGTGGGACAAAGAAAAGTAGTTGCTGCGGAATGCATACTTGTAAGTGCTATATAATTCATCACTGGCTTGTCTGGCACTGTTTGAAGAAGAAGGCTTTTTGAGTCTAGGTTTGCTTTAATGGCTACTGTTATGCCTTACAACAGAGCCTAGCATTTACAAATCTCCAGTTAGACATTAGTGGCAATGCAAACTGCAAACAGCGTCAGCTGCCAGGAAGTGGGACTCAACTTTCCCTGCATTTTGCAGTACACAACACAAGAAGTTGACCATCTGTCATTATGACACAGATCATAGATCATGTCCCACTTGTCAGGAGAGTGTAGCTTTAGCCCACCTAAGAAATAAGTCTGAGCGGAGGAGTTTATGGGGCACGATGCCTCATTCCCAGGGGACATTTTTTAACTCCCATGGCAACTAGGCCCAGCCCTGGCCTAGGACTCCCAAGTGTTTCATTATCTGATAATAGTAAGGGAAGTAATAAAGTGCTGCAAAAAAAAAAAAAAAACTGGCACATTTTTCAGCAACATCTGACCCAAAACCATACACATTTATACATACAAGGTATTGCATTTTTTCATGGCATATACAGCATTAGAAAGGTAATATCTAAGGTTGACTTACTATTTGGCAGAGTCTGACAGCTGGTATTCCCGACGCCTATCATAGCATTCCTGAATACCTGGGTCACTCCACAATGTTTTGATTGCACTAATATATGGCTGTTCAAATGTACACACTTTTTCCACATCAACTTCTCTCACAACGAGTGCATTAGCCTGGAGATAAAGAGGCAACAAAGCTAAGAAGCTAAGGTTTAACAAAAACCATCAGCAAGCGAAAACCATCAGCACACATATCCTGGGTCAAGTTTGGTTGTGGCAGCAATGCAGTCTTGTGAGCCTATGTACATCACAGTAGCTCTTAAATTACATAGTATTTGAGGTTGAATAAAGACATTAGTCCATCAAGTCCAACCTATTAGGATCTCATTCTAGGAGTACCCGTACCCCTGTATATTACGGCCCCTTAAGAAATCGTCCAAAAGTTTCTTGAACAATTCCACATTATTTGCTGAAATCACCGCCTGTGGCAGTGAGTTCCAGACCCTAACTGATCTTACTGTGAAGAACCCCCTTCGCCCCTTGTGCTGGAATTTTTTTTCCATCAATTTTAGGTGATGGCCTCTAGTTTTTGTAACAGAGTTAATTTTAAACAGTTTATCGCTAATGTTGCTACCACCATTAAACATTTTGTACATGGAGATCATATCCCCCCTTAATCTCCTCACCTCTAATGTGAACATGTTTAAATTTAGTAGCCTCGTCTCGTAGCTCTGGTAATACATACCCCTAATTAGTTTGGTTGCCCTTCGCTGGACTTTTTCCAACTCAAGGACATCTTTTCTTAGTACTGGTGACCAGAACTGGACCGCGTACTCCAGATGAGGTCGAACCAATGATCTATAAAGTGGCAAAATTATAGACTTGTCCCTGCAATACATC